TAGTTGGAGTCTCACTCCGTTTCCCAGACTGGAGTGCAGTGGCTGCTCCTGGCCACTGCAGCCTCTCGACCTGCTGGGCTCTGGCAATCCTTCCGCCTCAGCCTTCTAAGGACCTGGAACTACAGGCGTGCATACCATGCCCAGCAAATTTTTTGATTTATTGTAGAGATGAGGGCTCCCAAGTTGCCCAGGCGGGTCTCGAACCCGCGGGCTCAGGCAATCCACTCACCTCAGCCTGCCAAAGTGGGGTATTACAGCCTGAGCCACCGAGCCCGGCTCATTGTATTTTCAAAATGAAAAAAAATTGTTTATAGCTATAATTTAAGTCCTACAATGTCCTTCTCCAGAAAGGCTTTAAGTATGCTTCTGCCAGGCTCTTGAGAGATGACTTGAAGCTGATTCCTACGAGGACATGTCTATTTCTAATTCACCCTTACTTCTAAGGTATAGTTTTTCTGTGTCTCAACCCAAGGGAGGTTCATCAGGGCTCGTTATTTTGGCTATCTCTAAACTCCAGTCTCTGTCCTCCTGTTTGAAAAAACCATAATCTGCTGGGCATGGTGGCTCACTCCTAAAATTCCAGCACTTTGGGAGGCGGAGGTGAGAGGATTGCCTGAGCCCAGCGGTTCAAGACCAGCCTGGGTAACTTGGGGAGACCTCGGCTCTACAATAAATTAAAAAATTAGCTGGGCATGGTGGCACACACTGGGTGTTCCAGCTACTTGGAAGGCTGAGGCGGAAGAATCACCTGAGCCCAGCAGGTGGAGGCTGCAGTGACCGTGAGTGTGCACTGCCCTCCAGCCTGGGTGACAGAGTGAGACTCCAACTCAAAAAAATAAAATTTAGCCGGGTTCAGTGGCTCAGTGCCTTTGGGAGGCTGAGGTGAGTAGATTGCCTGAGCCTGTGGGTTCGAGACCTGCCCAGGCAACTTGGTGAGACCTCATCTCTACAATAAATCAAAAAATTAGCCGGGCGTCGTAGATGCACCTGTAGTTCCAGCTACTTGAAAGGCTGAGGTGGAAGGATCGCCGGAGCCCAGCAAGTTGAGGCTGCGGTGGCCGGGAGCAGCCACTGCACTCCAGTCTGGGTGACAGAGTGAGACTCCAACTCAAAAAATAAAATAAAATAAAATAAAATAAAATAAAAATAAATCCTTTGTGCTTCTCTTTTGTTGATTCACTTCCCACTTCCTTGTGCTTCCTTTTTGCAGGCTTTTTACTTTGGCAGGCTTCTTGTTTAAACTTT